AAAAGTTATTAAAATTATAGATGTTTCAGATCTTTATAAATAGGCCTACTGCTTTAGATTTTATCCAAAAAGTTTATTTCGATTTTCTTATTCCGGTTCATTGTTTTAATATTTTTTCCAAGTTTTAAACGAAATTTTTCCAACAGTTATTTGTTTTAAATTATTTATAAAAATATTATACTTATTTAATTTAATTACTTTCAAATAATTATGATATGTAATTAAATTAATTTTTTTTCCGTTGCTTACGGTCAATTTACGGTGTGAAATTTGAAATTAATCATTTCCGCTTGGACGGAAGGGGCAGTACCTAATCTCGTTTTGGTTCGGTGAAGACGATTGGCTGATACAGAGTAAGAAATCATTGAGTCATCTCGGTCGCATTTAGGATTTCAACGCTCAGCAAGTAGGTAACCATTTTTAGGGTAATTAGTTTATTTCTTAACTTTATTTAGCACTAGAATAATTTAGTTCCAGGGTGGATCTGCAATGCAAAACTTTACGACTATTTGAAACGCTGTTTCAATTTGTTGGTAAAACTTGTGTTTTGGAAAATAATCTACAATAAATTTTTGGCCGATTCTAGCCGAAATAAGATACGCATGCGATACGCATGCGCAATGGAGAGAAACTACGACTTGCCTTAGCGGCGATGTTTTCGATGGTACTGCGCATGCGTGTGTTTACAACCGCAGAACTCTAACACCAACCCTAATCCTATCCTTAACCCGACCCTAAAGGGGCGCCAAAAGGGGTGGAACATTTTTTTAAAGCTGATTTTTATGCTGTAGTTTTTAATTACAAACAGTCTAAATTAAGAAATGTAATGGCTTCAAGCCTTAACATACTTATTTTACTCTTCTCTAGCCTAATAGTGTAACTATAAACCACATACCTTTAAGAAACAGTGATCGGCAAAAACCGCTTTCCAGCTTTTCCTAGATGAGGTGGGGGCGCTATTTCGCGACCAAAATCGGAACTGTTTACACTAGATTGGTGAGTCGGTAAACGTTAATTCTTAAAAAAGAAACCAATTGTATTAAATTGTATTGTACGATTGTTTTACCGTAAAAAAGGCAGTGACTTTTATTAAGATGGTGCAGGGGGGTCGCTTTTTTTCGCTAAATAAAATAGCAAAGATTTACACTGGATTTTTATCACTTTATCACTTAGAAAAGAAACTAATTGTACTAAAGCGCATTGTACGATTGTGTGACATTTTTAAAAAGTTAGTTACGTTAAAACCCGCTCTACCAACTTTGTCCAAAATGATGGGGGAGGAGTATGTGTGGGGTGGGGGCGGTTTTTCACGAACAAAAATCGCAAGTATTTGTACTGGATTGGTTTTAACAACTAGAAAAGAAACCAATTGTATTAAAGCGTATTGTGTAACAGTAAAGTAAGAAAAAAAAATGATGCGTAGCCGTGGCGCCCTTTTTCGCCAATGGAATGTTATAGTGAATAATCAACTCCGACTCTCCGCTTTACTCGCCAAACAAATATATTTAATTTTACCTGGATTATAGAATGACATATTAATTTACAATGTAGAAGTTAGTCAGAAATTAAGTCTATTTTTTGATGTTTTTAATGAAACCACCGAATAAATAGTAAAAAACACTATGAAAATCTAATTATTTTTTACAGTCACAATACTGAGTAAGTGAGCTGTTACAGCTTGTGATAGGTCTATTGATTTCTGAGATAAGCATGATATTACAGTCAATATCTTGTTAAATGATGGTACGGCTTGGCCTAAGCGGTAGAGCGTTTGGCTACTAACCCGAATGTCTCTCGTTCAAATCCGGGTCCAAGTGGAGTAAAGGCGGCTGGGGAAGTGCTGACCACACCTTCCCTTCATTTTCCCGAGGTTAAGAAACATATGAGCTCTAGCTAGGACGACTCAAAGACTTAACCATCTGTCCACGAATTTTATGTCAGCACGTAAATTCTAATACTCAACTATAACATTTCGTAAAAGGAAATTTTTCGTCATATATTTTTAAATGTATATTCCAATTAAAAAATATCAACACTATATTTATTATTTTTTATTATTATTTATTTGACAGACCTGTGATAACAGAGGAAAATAGTAAAAAAAAATCGACTTCATCGCCGTAGTGTAATATATCTCAAGTGCTAAATTAATTATTAAAAGAATTAATATTGAAGGTGTGATAAAACAAATTTCATTTTCAAAGCGTATAGTCTTACAGCTAGTGAAACCGGAATCATGTTGCACGCTTGGTAAAGCAGTACTGAAAAAGATTGCAATTGTTTCTAACTTGATTGTTAAGATTGTTGATTGTTTTTGTCAATAATGAAAAAATGATGATCTGATACGTTAAGCACGATGTACTCTAAACGTATTCATATTGTTCATGTTTTCCTTTTAAATTCAAAAAAACTTCCAGTAATGTATAACTAGTTTACATTACAGGGTAACAAAAGAAGCGCTAGAAAATGTAACTCTAATACATTACGGCAGAATGTTTTCTTTTTGTATTATTAAAATATGCAATAATTAAAGCTGGTGGTGTCGCTAGGTCGTTTGTCCCCTTGTATCGGTAACCAATGGTGTCACCTTCCCACCAAAGGAAAAAAGTGTGATGTATATATATATATATATATATATATATATATATATATATATATATATATATATATGATTGCTTTGACGGGTTCACAGCTGATAGTAAATCTATAGTCGATTATTAATAAAGCTGGATGTAGCAGTATTTACTCTTTAATTAGTAGGTTTATTTCACGGTGTCACCGTCCCCTCCCCCGCTCCTTGTCGGAATCGTCCATTTGTACCAAAATACTTTTTATTTCTTTCATTGAACTGGCAAAAATCATATTTTCTCAATATATTATCTTTTATTTTCTTATTGTAACCCCATTAAATGGTAACACCAGGTTCGGTCCGCATCCCCCCTCGCCATGCGACGCCTCTTCTTAAAGCAACTGGATCGAATGATTCATTTTTCTATTTCGTGGGAGGGGTGGCGCTGTGTACGTGGCCGCTTACCCCAACCCTCCCCCCCCCCCCCCACTTATAGAGATGACCGAAAGTAGATTGATCATGCAAATACTTATTTTCCTCATTTCGTAATGCTCGGAAAAAATGAGAATCTATATTGTGGTTTAGTCTATATAAAGCTTAATGGTCTTTATAAGTCTAATAATAATCATTAAAAAAGTTTTAAAAAACCCACGTTTTCTGATTGAACTAAAAAGTAGAAAATAAATGCTATAGGCCCTATATCACAATAATGCAAGCGATCACTCTACTATAAGCGATCAAAAACGTGGGGCGCCGAAGTAAAAGTTATATTACTATTGATTAGATAATACTATTGACTTTTATTAGGGAGCTTGTAGAGAGTCAACAGTATTAGAAACTGTAAGAAAATCACGGCGCCCCACGTTTTTGCTCGCTTATAGTAGAGTGATCGCTTGCATTATTGTGATGTAGGGCCTATAGCATTTATTTTCTACTTTTTAGTTCAATCAGAAAACGTGGGTTTTTTAAAACTTTTTTAATGATTATTATTTTCTACTTTTTAGTCTTTGTCTGTTTGTTTGCATTAAAATCTTGCTATCGATTTTATCTTTTCACTTTTTTTGGGTAAACGAAGACAACTCGTAAAAAGACAACTCGTAAAAAGACAACTCGTAAAAAGACAACTCGTAAAAAACTCGTTGTTTGAATACGTTACTGACTAGAACACATAGATTTGAACCCGTGTCGAGTGGGATAGCAATCGTGTGCCCAACCACTCGACCATATCGTCTCCCCCAAACTGGCCTACCTCCTGTAAGTTTAAACTCGGTTCAAGCTAAATTCTCTGCCCCTAAGCCTGTGGCGACATGTGATCGTTCGCTTCACTGCGCGCGAGGTACGCGTCGCTGGTTTTTTTTCTAATGGCTAGCAGAGGAGAATTATATATATAGATTATATAGCGGTCTAAAATGCTCAATAAAATGTTTCCATTGATCAATTTAGTAATAATAACAATTGAATATTCAATGGTCATCCAAAAGAAAGCTTCCCTGAAAATTTCAGCGCGCTAGCTAACTGGGAAGTGCCAGAAATTTCGATCGCAAGATTTGATTGGAAAGACAAACACACAAACAGAGAAAGCAAGTTAAACGTGGGAAAAAAAACTTAAAATTACAAAAACTATTTAAAATGTTACTATCACGAGATATATCACAGCTTAAATATGTTAACAAAATTTAAAAAATATATGTTTAATGCTTGTTTTTTTAACATTTAATTAGTACTTCATTTAATTTAATGAATTTTCGTCTGCTTCTGTGAGCTGGGCATCTAAAGAGATGGTATGGTCAGTTCTATGCTAAGCCAATTTTACTTCCTTAGCATGAGCCAGTATGAATCGGCGCTTAATTAACGTAAAAGAAAGAAAACTGTTTAAGCACACTATATTAACTTGTTGCAGTCAAACCCGAATAACTGCCAAAGTACGCATTGGCCGGCACTCTAGACAAAAGCCCTAAGAACGTAAAACTAGCAGCGTATCTTATACTTTGGCCGGCCAATGCGTGCACTGGCCGGAATGCACTGATCAAAGCCCAATTCAGGTATGGTATGATGGCATTTTAACGATTCCGGCTGCAGTATCTTTGTAAGTAATGTATATCTCGGCTTCAGTTTGTATTCAATATGCCATGCCACATGGAACAAAATGTGTCGTCAACTGAAGAGGCAGACTGCAGAGGGGAGACATCAAAGAACACAAACTTTGGCAGTCGGCATCACAGTCAATACGCAACAAGATGGAACTTTTAAGCCATTTCCGCGGGGGATGAGACCCTTGTAAGATGAATAATAGGGTTCAAAGGCGAGTATGAGGGGTATGTGTACATGAGTATATGTATAGACCTACATTTAAATTGAATCATTGCTACAACATTACTGCTATTTCTACATACAATCATTTCAAATAAACTAAAAAGAGAAGCAACTCATTAGCTGATCTATTTTGTTTTAATGTTCAAGCTTAATGTAAAGCTAATGAACGTGAGCCGCAGCAAGGCTAGCACTTCTTTCTGTCGTAATTTTTGTAGGCGGCATTGTACTTTTTGCTGGCCACACACTGACTCAATATCTGATCACAAACGCAGGTATTATATCCACAGCGTGAGCCGACTGGGTCTAGAATATAAAACAACACTAGGGTCAATGTCATAAATGTTCAGATGCTTTGATGAGAGGTTCAGATAAATAAGAATATAAACGAACCAATGCCAATAAATAGACAACATATTCAGCTATAAAGTTATTATTACTATTAAAATACTTCAGATTTAGTTATTGAATATTTGTCGCTGGCGGTATGTAGTTTGAATTAAATGATCTAATTAATTTGAGATGTATTCTTATGGAGCGTTAACTCACCTCAAGATGAAGAATAAAGGTCCAATAACTAACCGTAAAACCATGTATTCACTTTAAATAAATCACCTTGACCACATACATGCAGATGCAATAACTCACCACAAACCCGTATACACAGGAGCAATAACTCACCACAAGCCCATATACACAGGAACAATAACTCACCACAAGCCCATGTACACAGGAACAATATCTCACCACAATTCCGCATACACAGGAACAATAACTCACCACACGCCCGTGTACACCACAAAAATTAGGGTATTTAACTCTAATGTCAAGGCAGTTCTGCTGAATGGAGCAGAGACATGGAGCTTCTCCAAGGCAAGCACAGCAAAGATACAGACCTTCATGAATATATGCCTTAGACAGATATTGAAACTGAGATGGCAGGACAAAGTGCCGAACATAGAACTATGGAGGAAAGCTAGGTAGGAGCCTAGGGGTGTGCAAATAAGAAGGAGAAAGTGGCGCTGGGTGGGTCACACACTGCGAAAGGCTCACCCAAATGTTACACTCCAAGCGCTTGAGTGGAACCCCAAGGAAAGCGGAAAAGAGGGTGCCCAAGTCAGACCTGGAGGCGGAGTCTTCTTAAAGAACTGCAGCTAACAGGGATGTCTTGGGAGATGGCAAAATTAATAGCCGGGGATGGGAAGAAATGGAAGGAAATGGTGGAGGCCCTATGCTCCATAAGGAGCAAAGAGGACTAAGTCAAAAGTAAGTCAACCCGTGTACACAGGAACAATAACTCACCACAAGCCCGTATACACAGGAACAATAACTCACCACAAGCCCGTATACGCAGGAACAATAACTCACCACAAGCCCATATACACAGGAACAATAACTCACCACAAGCCCGTATACACAGGAACAATAACTCACCACAAAAACACTTTTCGGATTGACAACTGTATTTGTAGTATTTGGTGGAAGGCGAGCACGGCTTATACTTATTTATGACTGACGTGTAGCAATCGACATGCTCCTTACAACACCTGAAAGTGATTTGTCATAATTAAAAGTGCATCATCATGAAGTTTACAACACCTGAAAGTGTTTTGTCATAATTAAAAGTGTATCATCATGAAGCTTACAACATCTAAAAGTGATTTGTCATAATTTAAAAAGAAAGAAAGCAAAGCAAACACTTGCGAAAATATTAAATACCACCAATCAAACAGCCACAACAAATAAAGCAATTACACTTAATTTAATTAACACGACTAGACAAAGAACAGAAGACGAAAAGAGACTAGTAGCAACGGCTATTTAAAGATCGACTATATGGCAAATTAGGAATAAATTCAGATATTTTTTCACAAAATACATGGACATCGAGTTGAAAGAAATATTTCAAGCAAAACTAAGACATAGGCTGGGAACTCTCACTTAACTGAGAAAAAAGAAATGTACAGGAAAGGAATAAATAAAGTATTAATTTTAATTTAGACTGTCTCAAGCCAAACATCACACGATCAGCCCACAAGTAAATTAACATTAGAACAGCCTTCTGTTTCCCAGGTTTTTAAGGTGCACAACCTGACTGGTAGGAAGAGATATACACCTTAACCCCCCCCCCCCCCCCCCACACACACACACACACACACTCCCCCCCCCCCCCACTCAAACGGACTGGCGAATACTTCAAGGTAGCGTGCCCTCATTACCAAGGGTCAATTTTATGTCATGGAAAGTTTTGGAATGATAGATCAGTATGTGTATTACAGAGACACTTCTCCCACGGTCGTTTCTATTTCTGTCCATGGGTGGCTACAATGTGAACTTTTGACTTAGCAGCACAGTAAACTAAGCAGTCAAGAGAAACCTAGTTTGGACACCTTATTTTAGTCTAGTTCTTATGCCATTTTATTTTCTCCCTTTGATTATTATATATGCAATTAATGTTCATTGTTCATGTCTTTGATGCTGTGTAAAATCTATCAAATATATTATTATTACTGATTTAAATGTTTAAAACAATTGAATTAATTTAAAAAAAACTGTTTGAGGACTGTATAGATATAGATGTTTGAAAGGGAAGAATGTTTGCTTTGATGTGTCTCATTGTAATTACATAACTTTTCCGATTGCTTTAAATTTGTATCATTTTAATTCTCGGTAATCCCAATTTTTTTTTCCCAGCTCTACTTAAAAACCCAAATTCCACCCCCACCGCCCCCTCAGCCCACCATCTCGAGAAAAAATTCCCTTGAATCCTCATTTAATTACACATTTGTATTTTCAGTTTCAGGTTGGATTTTTATTTTTATCTTTTATTTTTTCTTTATATTTAGACGTTTTGTATTAGATCTATGTATAAGTAAACCATCTTAAATTAATGAAAGCAGGCTACAAGTTAGAAAAAAATATTACTATTGTAAATCTGTATCAGTCCTCACAAGCCGATGATGAAAACTGTAATACTAAAGCGAACACACAACTGACGCTATAAATTACGTGTCTGAGGCAAAAGAAAAATACACAAAAAAAAAATAAAAAACAAGAAACAATATTAAAAATGTTTCGTCATGAAGTTTACAACAGCTAAAAGTGATCAGTTATGGGGTTTATAACAGCTAAAAGTAATTAGACGTCTACAACACCTAAATTTGAATCGTTTTTGTTCTCTACCATCAAATAGTGAAACGTATCATTTAAATCATAAAATCAAAATCGCAAATCTTATAACATCTAAAATTGCATCATTATTGTATTATAGAAACCTGAAACCGTTTTTTTCTCTAACAATCTTAAGGTGAATTATTATGTGTTTTACAAAACCTAAAAGTGAACCTTTTTTTCAAAATTAAAAGTGAATCGTTTTTGTTTTTCAACATCTAAAGCGAATCAATGTGTTTTACAACATCTAAGGCGACTCTTTGTGTTTTACAACATCTAAATCTGAGTTTCAGGCGAGTTACCTGTCTACGTCGTCCACAGGTTTTCCTTTACCCCCAAAGCAGAAACAGCCGTAACCGCTGTAGTCTGTGGTACTTTGTGTTGCGTTAGCCATCATATCTTTTAACAAGTCTGTAGCTCTCTTCACTACGGCATCAGCTGGAGACACTAGAGGAGGGAGAGTTGACAGCTTAGACTAGTGTCGGATATTTTTGTATCATTTTACATCAATAAAAACTTCACAATTAAACATATAATAATATCTCTCTTAGTATTACATGGAGAGGGCGCGCGGTAGCGTACACGACAGCTAACCCGAAAGTATCAAATTTTGACAAGGTTCAAGTCCTTCTAACGTCGGTCTTAGATTGGTACATGACGTAAAAGGTAAACAAAGGTGGGTGGTGGCAACACCATCCCTTCATATCACGAGTTCAAAGAAGTTGGTTACATCCGACAATAAAACGACAGATACAAATAGGAAGTTTACTATATCAAGTGAGGTTGGCGTATTTCTGAACATCAACATTTTAATAAGGTTGATTGAATGTGATCCTGTAATGATTAATTGATATTTTTAAAACAGGTCACTACGTGGAAATAGCAACAAACTAAACGTATAATTAATGTTACACGTTAGGTATCAAATGATGCATTTGTCTACTGGGGTTTTACTTACCAAAAACACAAATTCTCCAACCATCACCACATAATCTTCAACCAGAGACTCACTTAACATCACATACTCTCCAACCAGTGATTCACCTAACGTCACATACCTTCCAACCAGTGATTCACTTAACATCACATACTCTACAATCAGAGATTCACTAGTCATCACATACTCTCCAGCCATCATCAGATACTCTCCAACCAGCGATTCACTTATCACCACATACTCTACAATCAGAGATTCACTAGTCATCACATACTCTCCAACCAGAGATTCACTAATACTCTCAATTCAGAGATACATTTTTAACATCACGTATTCTCCAACCAGAGTTTAACTTATCATCACATACTCTCCAATCAGAGATTCACTTATCATCACATACTCTCCAACCAGTTTCACTAGACATCACATACTCTCCATCTAGAGATTTATTTAGCCACCAACCAGAGATTTACTTTTAACATCACATACTCTCCATCCATCATCGCATACTCTCAAACCAGAGATTCACTTAACATCACATACTCTCCAACCAGCGGTTCACATATCATCACATACTCTCAAACCATAGATTCACTTAACATCACACGCTCTCCAACCAGAGATTCACTTAACATCACATACTCTCCAACCAGAGATTCACCAGACATCACACACTTTCCAACCAGAGATTCACTTAACATCACACACTCTCCAACCAGAGATTCACTTACCAACATACGCTGCTGTCAGCAACAAGATAGCAAACAACGGAATTGAATTCATCTTCTGGCTAAACTGAAAAAAAAACAACCGGCAAGCTTGTTAATGCATCTGATTGTAGCTAATACTTCATAATTAATACCCAGTTATTGAAGGGTAGCGCTCTACAACGCGCACAATATTGGTTGAGCGTTTTATTTAGATTAAAAGGTCATTGTGCTAAATATAAATCTAGAGACATTTCTGGTAAAACTGTTAAAAAATTGACTTCACCATCTTTATACGTTTAAGTGATTACATTCAACACCCACAACTAACCACTTTAAACAAATAACCTTTTGCGCTATAACTGACAGCTTTACTCTCCTCCCTGCCTGTATGGAATAAGCTAAGTACTCGATCCTTGATCAGCAATAATCATGTCTAAAAATGTAGGACAGCTACTGGCTCAAGTCTGTAGGACATCCCTGAGTCCACTCAGCTCTGATGGGTACCTGACCCACATTAAGGAGACAAAAGCGGCTAGGCGCAGTGCTGACCACACTTTCCATTTGGTTGCCGAGGTCAGTGAAACACATGAGCTCTACCTTGTCTGCCCCATGAGTCTTAGACACGAACAGGATGAGACCACAATGTAGAACTACGCTTATAGAAATATTCAAAATTAAGCAACAGAACAACAAAATACTGACCTTACGAGTAACAATCATGTGTTTCATGTACAATTATGTACAGTATTGAGATATATTTATATAGCGTTGGGCCTCCATCAGATGTAAATTCATTAATATTCAATTAAGTATTCACCACAAAGAAAACGTTGCCAGCCTCCATGTTTTCTATTTGCTGTTGCAACTAAAATACTCTAATTAATAACAAGCATTCTTTATGGGAGTGTTGACAAAGAATTCACTTTGTTCTCTCTAAATTTATTTTTTGAAAAATTGAAACTCAGCCAATAATGTATTGAACTAATTTATTCTTAGGGGGAAATTTGCTGCAGAGACGAAAATATATTTATTCATCTCAAAATAAATATTTTCTCATTTTTAAAATTAGAAAGTTTAACATGTTTTCTCCCTATCATAACAGGCTCAAATTATTGCAAAACACAAAACATATGAGGCTTGATGATGTTAGTTATGTCATGATGGCTTTTTAGCCGATTAAGGTGAGAAAGGCTGTTCCAACATGAGGAAAAAACTGATCACCCCTTGAAATAACTGATCACCCCTTGAAATCTGACCGCCCTTGCAATAACCTTGTTTTACTTGACTTAAAAACAACATTTAAAATACGTTTTTTATGTATTAAATATTCGTTCTCAAATTTTATTTTACTGAATCGAAAGTAAAAAAAATAAATCAACCGGAAGTTTTCCCCCTTAACTTTCTCGAATATTCTTATATAACACTACGGGGGGGGGGTAGCAACTCATGATATACACATGATTTTAATCCAATTTTAATTACTTAAACTTTTAAAAATAGAATAGAATCTCGTAGAAAAAAGCATTGCCCACTAGGAAAACGCCAAACAATATGTGTGAATTGGTGCGGAATATTATTAGTACTTTATAAATTCATGTGTTTTTTGAGAATCGAAAATAGGGTATATTACTACATCCGTTCAACAGAAATTACTCAAACTTTGACAGAAGGCAGAGAATTTTCAGTTCAGTAGTCCTGAGCTTTACCTAGCCGACCACGCCGACCCTACATGATTACCGACGACCTAGAATTTAAAATTAGCATTCCATTTTTATGTCATGTATATTTTGCTTGATCCCAAGATGCGAATAACATGGGCTGATGTGAGTCATCTCCCCGTCTGTTACCAGCTACTTAACATCTAATTGTTTTCAGAACCCTCGATCAAAGCGCCGCATGACAAAATATCAAGTACCAGCAGAGAAACGGGCTGCGGGGTGGCGATAAGACAAAATGTGCTATTTAATATGTACATATTGGACATAACAAAGGCTTGTCGAACAAGTGGCAGTTTACATTCGTGTGGAGATAGACGACGTTAGCCCTTGAACAAAGTGAGAAGTTTAACAGAGAGAAGTTTAACACACAGAAGTTTAACAGTGAGAACTTGAACAAAGTGATTCCTTGAACAAAGTAAGAAGTTAAACAGTGAGAAACTTGAACGAAACGAAAAGGTGAACAGTGAGAACTTGTAACAAAGCGAGAATTGAACATAGTGAAAACTTGAAATAAGTAAGAACTTGAACAGAGAGAGAACTTAAACAGTGTGAGTACTTGAAAAAAGTGAGTACTTGAACAAAATGAGAACTTAATCAAAGTGAGAGCTTGAACAAAATGAGTACATGATCAATGTAAGAACTTGAACAAAGGGAGTGAACTTGATCAAAGTGAGAACTTGAACAAAGTGTGAGCTTGAACAAAGTGAGAACTTGAAAAATTCGAAAACTTGATCAAAGTGAGAACTTGAACAAAGTGAGTACTTGAACATAGTTATAACCTGAACAATGTGAGAACTTGAACAAAGTGAGTACTTGAAAAAAAGTGAAAACTCGAAAAAAGTGAGAACAAGATCAACGTGAGAAACTTGAACAAAGTGAGAACTTGAACAAAGAAGGAACTTGAACAAAACGGAGAAGTTGAACAAAGTTAGTACCTGAACAAAGTGAGAACTTGAACAAAATGAGAACTTGATCAAAGTGAGACTTGAACAAAGTGAGTACTTGAACATAGTGAAAACTTAAACAAAGTTAGAACTTGAACAAAGTTAGTACTTGAACAGTGAAACTTGAAAAAAGTTAGAACTTGATCAACATGAGAAACTTGAACACATAAGGAACTTGAACAAAAGGAGAAGTTGAGTAAAATGAGTACCTGAACAAAGTGAGAGATTGAACAAAGTGAGAATTTGTACAAAGTGAGAAATTTAACATTGAGAACTTGACCAAAGTGAGATCTTGAACAGAGATAGATCTTAATAAAAGTAAGAACTTAACAGAGTTAGTAATTGATGAAAGTGAGGACTTGAACAAAGTAAGAACTTGCACAAAGTGAGAACTTAATCAAAGTGAGAACTTGAACAAAGTGAGAACTTAAATAAAGTAAGTACTTGAACAAAGTGAGAACGTGAATAAAATGAGAACTTGATCAAAATAAGAAATTGAACAAAGTGAGAACTTCAACAAAGTGAGAAATGAACACATTTAGAACTTGATCAAAGTATGAACTTGAACTCAATGAGAACTTGATCACAACGATAATGAGTTTGACATATTGAGTAGTATAACACAGTGAGAACTAAAACAAAGCGTACTTTTTAAATTAGAAGTGTATACTTGTATCTTGCCATTGCTTCTAATAGTACGCATGACTGAGTAAATGAGCTGTTACAGTGCGTGATAGGTCTATTGGTTTCTGAGGCAAGCATGATATTACAGCCAATAGTGCCTCTAGTTCAAATTCGGGTCCAAAGGGGAGGAAAGGCTGCTGGGGAAAGTGCTGACGACACCTTCCCTTTATTTCTCAAGGTTAAGAAACATGAGCTCTACCTCAAAGACTTTACCATCTGTCCACGGCATGCATGTCAGCATTTGTCAACTCTAATATTCAACTACAACATTTCGTAAAAGGAAATTTTTTGTCATATATTTTTAAATGTATATTCCAATTAAAACATAACAAAACTATATTTATTATTTATGATTATTTATTTGACAGACCCGTGGTAACAGGTGAAAATAGTTTTAAAAAATCGACTTGATCGCCATGGTGTAATATATCTATAGTTCTCAAGTGCTAAATTAATGATTAAAAGAATTAATATTGAAGGTGTGATAAAGCAAATTTCATTTTCTAAACATATAGTCTTACAGCAAGTGAAACCGGAATCATGTTGCACGCTTGGTAAAGCAGTACTGAAAAAGATTGCACTTGATTGTTAAGATTGTTGATTGTTTTTGTCAACAATGAAAAAATGATGATCTGATACGTTAAGCACGATGTACTCTAACCGCATTCATATTAATAATTTTTTCCTTTTAAATTCACAAAAAACTTCCAGTAATGTATAACTAGTTTACTTTACAGGGTAACAAAAGAAGCGCTTGAAAATGTAACTCTAATACATTACGGCAGAATGTTTTCTTTTTGTATTATTAAAATATGCAATACTTAAAGCTGGTGGTGTCGCTACGCTAGGTCAGTTGTCACATTTTAGCGGTAACCAATGGTGTCACTACCCCACCAAAGGAAAAACGTATATGATATACACACACACACACACACACAGTTGATAAAAAATCTATAATCGATTATTAATATAGCTGGATGTAGCAGTATTTACTCGTTAGTTAGCAGGTTTATTTCACGGTGTCACCGTCCCTTCCCCCCGCTCCTTGTCGGAATCGTCAATTTGTACCAAAATACTTTTTAACTCTTTCGTTGAACTGACAAAAATCATATTTTCTGTATATATTTTCTTTGTGTAACCCCATTAAATGGTAACACCAGGTTCGGTCCGCATCCCCCCCTCGCCATGCGACGCCTCTTCTTAAAGCAACTGGATCGAATGATTCATTTTTCTATTTCGTAGGAGGGGTGGCGCTGTGTACGTGGCCGCTTACCCCAACCCTCCCCCCCCCCCCCCCACTTATAGAGATGACCGAAAGTAGATTGATCATGCAAATACTTATTTTCCTCATTTCGTAATGCTCGGAAAAAATGAGAATCTATATTGTGGTTTAGTCTATATAAAGCTTAATGGTCTTTATAAGTCTAAAAAACTTAAAATTACAAAAACTATTTAAAATGTTACTATCACGAGATATATCACAGCTTAAATATGTTAACAAAATTTTAAAAATATATGTTTAATGTTTGTTTTTTTAACATTTAATTAGTACTTCATTTAATTTAATGAATTTTCGTCTGCTTCTGTGAGCTGGGCATCTAAAGAGATGGTATGGTCAGTTCTATGCTAAGCCAATTTTACTTCCTTAGCATGAGCCAGTATGAATCGGCGCTTAATTAACGTAAAAGAAAGAAAACTGTTTAAGCACACTATATTAACTTGTTGCAGTCAAACCCGAATAACTGCCAAAGTACGCATTGGCCGGCACTCTAGACAAAAGCCCTAAGAACGTAAAACTAGCAGCGTATCTTATACATTGGCCGGCCAATGCGCGCACTGGCCGGAATGCACTGATCAAAGCCCAATTCAGGTATGGTATGATGGCATTTTAACGATTCCGGCTGCAGTATCTTTGTAAGTAATGTATATCTCGGCTTCAGTTTGTATTCAATTCTATATGCCATGCCACATGGAACAAAATGTGTCGTCAACTGAAAAGGCAGACTGCAGAGGGGAGACATCAAATAACACAAACTTTGGCAGTCGGCATCACAGTCAATACGCAACAAGATGGAACTTTTAAGCCATTTCCGCGGGGGATGAGACCCTTGTAAGATGAATAATAGGGTTCAAAGGCGAGTATGAGGGGTATGTGTACATGAGTATATGTATAGACCTACATTTAAATTGAATCATTGCTACAACATTACTGCTATTTCTACATACAATCATTTCAAATAAACTAAAAAGAGAAGCAACTCATTAGCTGATCTATTTTGTTTTAATGTTCAAACTTAATGTAAAGCTAATGAACGTGAGCCGCAGCAAGGCTAGCACTTCTTTCTGTCGTAATTTTTGTAGGCGGCATTGTACTTTTTGCTGGCCACACACTGACTCAATATCTGATCACAAACGCAGGTATTATATCCACAGCGTGAGCCGACTGG